TATTAGAAACTGCAACTTGATGATGGTGACATCAAGGAGGATGTATGCCAAGAAAGAACTGTAATCAATGTGTCGCACCGAGCCGGAAGCACGTGAAGAGACATATGCTATGCGGATGACGAAGAGACGGTGTGACAATAGGAAAGTATGCAATGGTCCTACCTTGACACTGCAGTGGCGTACAGCAACCGCAAAGGATTATGCTTCAGCTCGCTCCTCTGATCTTGCAGTAGCACATCGACAATATCAGCTGTCGAGTCGAGCAGCAGTGGCAGACCATCCGGCTTCCGTGACCGCCATGCGAATACCTACGAGCATGCTATCAGCATGGTTCACCTCCTCCTGCTTGGGCATCCACGATTGTCGCGCATGATGCACCAAGTCGAGCTCAGCTTACCTTGTTCACTGCTCTCTCCTTCTTGATTGAGTCAGTCCCGTACAGATCGTGCCGCACCTGAAGCAGCTCCTTGCTGTCACGCCACGGGGTTACGACAAACTGCATTTCCGGCGGCTCTATGGCTAGGCAGAACCTCGCGTGCTTGCAAATAACGCAAATAGACGCCGTGGAAGTGTGATGGAGTGTCTATGCGTCGCGATTGGTCAGGAGCTTTGTTGCGGGTCTGGCCAGATTGTGAACGGCAGGGCGCACGTGATGTACGGCAAATTTGCTCATCCACATCGTGTTATCGATACGCGGTGCTTGTCCACGAATCAGTGACGTCTAGCTCCAAGTTGGCATCCCTGTATTCTGGAAACTTTTCCCGCCCACATTTCTAACGCGCACTCTAATTTCGTAGTCCCCGTAACTGCGTGGCCGCCTCGGCTACGCAAGGTTTGCCTGGGCGTGCACTAGACGAGCAGCCTAAAAGGGTATGTGCAGCGAGTCGTCGCCGAGCTTGAGCGATGGGCCGACAAAGTTGATGCACAAGCACTTTGCTGGTCGCTGGTCGGTAAGTGAGCAGATCGGTCGGATTTAAGGCCGCCAGCACATCGGTGAGCACAAAGGCTGCTTCAATGAAACTGTGTGTGTTGCTATCGGCCCTTCGCCAGGTGCCGACCTCCCTGTAACCGGCGTGCTTGTCGGCGTAAGCAGACCTCAGCACACCTGTTGCACTGGTGTTTCGCAAACGGTGACATGCCCGATGAGCTGACGAGCTGCGGGGACATGCTGCCGATGGGGATGACCTTTATCTTGCCGTACGGTACGCTACGGCATGCGCCGACATGGACACCAAGCGAGACGAGAGTGCGATGGTGGACGGGAAAGTTCAAAGGCTTGAAGGACTTATGTTTTTGAAGGCAGCTGCAGAAGTGGTGTTGGCGTTGGCGTTGGCGTTGGGTGCTGCGGCAGTTGTGGTGCATCGACTCCGATTCGGCAGGGAATCTCCTTGTCTCGCTGTAAGAATCCTGTTCTGGAAGACATAGCCACGATGCGACATCCCGCTGATCTAGAGTGACCATGTAAGGGCCTGTCTGGTTACGCCGTTTTTGCTGGCCGTATTGGTGATATATTAGGTAAAGCTCGTGACAAGGAGTGCGCGGGGGCTAAGCTCAGAGGCTTGCCCGAATCTAGATTAGCAAAATGGAGCGACCAGAATTGAAACTGTACCTCGAAGCAGCTGCTAGAAAATGGAGGCTCCATCTCGCTCAAATAGGTAGATTGTGGGTACAATAAGCACTAAACCAGGATGCAATCCTTAGTGGCAACGCTAACAAAATGGCATCCCCAGCTCCTCTGGCGATTACTCCGTTTTACCAGACACGAGCTCCATCTCATCTCCGTTTTTAAAACGCTGCCTAATTAGGCCGAAACGGCCAGCAAAACTGGCGTACCAGACAGGCCCTAATAAATCTGATGAAAACCACTGTAACCTCGGTCAGATTGAAGGTTGGCAATCACCCGGTCGGTACTTCAATGGTATTGTCGCCTCACATGAGCAGGGGTGATATAGTTTGACAGTGGTGCATTGGATATTGGGAGTTTGTATTGTTGCGACCACACTCATGGATCTCACTATATTCTACATGTTGATCATCTGACCTCGATTCGAGCGATGCAGTGGCTCGGCGAGCTCGTTTGCCAATGAAGGCTGGGGTATCCGTGTAATCTTTTCCTGCCATCCTAGGCAACATCAAAACGCCCTGCTATGCAAAACAATAACGAAACATGTCACAATTGTGAACATGAAGAAGCTCTATCATTTACAGCCATGCGTATCCCATGCCATTGTCCCGCACTGGCATGGAGGGCTGCTTGGCTTGGTGGTACCACCATTCCTTGGTTGCCGTCTCGTCATCGTCGAAGAAGAAGCTCTGTCCATCCATGCTGCCGGGTGTTTGAGCCTTGACGTGAACAGGCAGTTGCAGTTGTTGGTTGCAGTCATTTACGGCAGGAAGGGGTGGCGAAGGCTCCTCGCTGGCTTCTGAGCTTGCATCATCCGCATCTTCTTCATCGTCCTCCTCGGGTGGTTGCCAGGTCTCCTCAAGTTTCAAGCCCTTGCCTGTTGCTGGCTCCGTTTCCCAGGACATGGACGGTTCAGGAAGATCGTATAGACCCAGTGCCACAAGCTTCTCGCCACTATCATCTTCCATTTGTTCGTCCTGGGTAATGGGATGCTGGATAGGCAAGAAATCTGCTGACTCGTTGTGCGAAGCCATCATGGCTTGCTCCTGGTTTTTCTGTGCCCACTGCTGCAAGTACCATGGCAATGGCTCAGACGTTGGCGTGTTGACAATCGACTGTGTGTGAGACGATGTCTGGTATGGAGTACTTTGCCAGCCATATGGTGTGTAGTTCGCCCCTCACCGTCAAACATGGAATTACGGGTGGAAAGGGAGTAGAAAATCGGATCCTTGGGTTGACTCGCGCGGCGAGGTTGAATACCATTCTTGCTGGGGCTCGAAGTAGGATGAAGACTGCTGTGCTTGGTATTGTGTTGAAGATGGATGCCAGCTCATAGGTCGGCTTGGCTGTGGACGTTCCTCATATGCCTCCTCTGGTTCGACACCAAACATCATCCTGTAATGGTCGTCTAGGGTTGCATATAGCTTCGCCTCCGTCGTTGTTCGTCGTCTCTCCGTGGTTCGTGGGCTATTATGGTGGCTTTTGGGCTTCTCCACGCGTGCAGAGCGAGGTGTATGTTGACTACCAGAGCTTCGAGAGGCACGTCGAGGGAGATGCGTGGTGTGCATGTGTCCGGACATGTTGTTGAGTAGTGATGAAGGTGACAAGTGAAGATGTGTGGGTTGCAGGACGTTATAGCTGTGGTCAGGTGTTTAAGTGTGAGTCGATGTCACTTTGGATGAGCAGTCCTGGGGCCATCTGCATAGGTATATGGGATGCTAAATTGGGAAGGATGGATGGGGAAATTGTATCAAAGAGAGACCTCGCGGCAAGAGTCATGGTACAAGGAATGCCAGTGGGCTAGGTTAGTGGAAAGTCAAGAAGTGCTAATAGCGGAATAGATGCAGACAAGGAACGGAAGGTTATTGACTACACGGAGCCACCAAGGGATGGCTCGGTGAGGGAGCGCTGTAACGACTAGGCCGAGTGGCACGGCTGGAACGATCAACCATAGCATGGGGATGCAGAATGCGAGTAGGAAGACCAGGAATGGCCGAATCACAGGGCGAGGAGAACAGACGAGGGAGGCGGGTACCGATGTATCATGGCGCAAGCGCAACGGAGTATCCGTGCAGCAGATGTAAGTCGTATGCCGGCCCATCGACACAGCAGGCAAGGGAAGCACCACGATGATGGATGGCAGAATGCGGTCCCTAGCGCAGCAGCCAGCTGGAGGCCAGGACGAGTAAAGTTACACCTAACAGTGCGACTCAGCTGGCTCCGTGCCGAGGGTCGAGTGTCGTGTGCATGGGGCAGTGGCCCGCCTGGCGGTCAAGACTCAAAGACTAGCCCTGGAGACTGGTGTTGGACGAAGGATGGACACTGCATGCACTCGGCAGCGTCATGTTTTAGCCGCGCCTGGAAAAGGCATAATTAGTGGAAGAAGGCCGGCGGCGACACTGCGACAGTGGGTCCGCGCCATCCGGTAGGTGTGCATGCATGATACACGAGCACTATCGATGGGGAGTTGCCGGCTGGAGGGGCTGGTGCATTTGCAGTAAAGATCCGTCGGGGCGCCAGCGTTGATGGGCCATATCAGGGGCGGATGGGGTCAGGAGTGTGGTTGGCGCAAGAGTCTCGGAGGCAGTGGAAGAGTGGCAGGCGAGTTGGGCCTGCGCAGGGCGCACTACAGCATGCTTCCGCGGTTCACCCTGTTTGGCCAATCAGCGCGCGGCGCGGGAGTGAATAGCTCCACCAAGCACGGATGCAGTACCTCCTGCGTGGTCGCGCGTGCAGCCGGCAAACCAAGTCGCTGGCCCATGGGTGTCCAAGCGCGATCTGGGGCAGACGCTGGACGGCTCCGTTCATTGGCCGCTCCGTAGCCCAGCGTCTTCCAGAAATCGACATGCGCCCACACCCCTGCCAGCACCCGCCTGTAACGGGACCCGCGAGCCCATGACATGGGGCTTTGCAGATGGATGCAGCATCAGACATTTGCATACATCCCCAAGCGTGGTCACACTGCCAACAGCGGAGGTACCCACGGAGATTGCAGCAATCGGCTGCTTTGCATTCACCCGGCAACCACATTCTTTGCAGCCTTGCTACCTGCTCACCAGGCGCCGGTTTGACCACACCGGACACGAAGGCACCGTATCCCCTCGATGGTCGACCCTTGCGCGTGGGACGGTGCCATCAACGTGGATTACGCCTAGGTGAAATGAAGCTGGTTTGCATCCGTCGAGTCTGGCATCCCTGTCGTAGTTATTAGACAGGCACGGCCTAGAAAAACAACTCCAACTTCCGCTACAGTGGTCCACCGAGCCGCTTCGAAACCATAAGCAAGCTGCTATCATGGAGCGCCGGGCTAGGACCGCCCAGCTACCGGCCCTGATGTGACAAAGTACGGGTCGTGGACGAGCTCGAAGCCCCAAACACATCCTAGACCACGACCCGCACATATTGGCTACGGCCATCCCTTACAAGACTATGGCGATACGCGCGTTTGTGTCTGGCATGTCACCTTGTCTCTACACCAGCATCCTGTTTCGGACTCACGACTCACGCGGACATTGATCCTGCAATAGTGCGTATCGACTAGGTTCATGCTTATTATAGGCAATCGCCCTCTGCAGATTCCTCAGTAGTGGACCCGATCATTGCCAAATGCTGGGTGCAGACTAACATACTCGGATGGGTCTTACTGCGTCGCAGTGACAAAGCATCTTGCGTGTTGAGAGGACTGATGCAGCCCTTCTCGATCAACATCTGCAGCCAGCTTGGCTCAATAACGGTGACGCAGAGCTGATGCCTCCCCATCTGCACAATCGAAAGGCGACCAGGGCCCTCCACAGTGACCCCACGGCAGCCAGACTCGAAGCGGTAACACCGTTCAACGAGAAATGCCCCGGCGTGGCTTGTGAGCTGCAGCCGAAGCGCCGATGAACCCTGGTTTCGTCCCGCCTAGATGATCGACAGCGGTCAACACGGGCACAAGGATGATTTTGCTGGTTCAAACGAACTGGATCATGTCAGGGGCTTGTGTCTGGTCGCCAAAGCAGATGTGTCGTCCACTCTTAAAGATTGGACAAGCATGGGTGGCTGATTCAAAAAAGCACTGGACATGGTCTCGAGACCCCCCTGGTCAGTTCGCGTGCCAACTCTTTGGTGCTGACACATTCCAGTCCTGTAGATCCGTGTTGAAATTGCACCTAGGAGTCTAATCCCTTGTGCGAAAATGTGTCAAACATGAGCATCGACAAGGTCAATGTCTGAACACAATCCCAGACTTGTGCTAGCTTCATCATTTTGGATCCAATGAGCTTCCCCTTTTCGCACAATTTCGCACGACCCACGTATCACAGGCGCCGGCATGGCATGACCGCAGTAATGTGCCTGTTGGGTGGTCAAAACTGCATTGCTGCAGCTTGTACCACTTTGTGCATCACGGGACCATGCTTTCAAGGTATTTCTTGCAATCCGTGCTAATGGAAGGCTCTCTACGTCTCGGAAATTGTCAACCCTGCGAACGGCTTCCAACTCAGGTGCTGAGTGCTGACTTGCATGTCTTGGGGTCGACTGTCACCTGGTACAATCAAACGAACCGTGTCCACAAAAGCACACGACCTTCAAAGCCATCACACCATTAGGAAATCCGCGCCCATTAGCCGTGCTGCTTGGTTTGGGTCTTATCCATCGAGATTCGGCAGAGCAGCGGAGCAGCGGTCTAAGCAAACTGACAAGGATCTTTCGGTCGAACTCGCTTCCTTCGGATTTCTTCCTTCAGACGCGGGGCGTGACTGAAAAGCACCGATACAGGCCAAGTGCAGCCTCAGCCCGGCAATCTGCGACACGGATTAGATGCCCGTAATGACGTGTATCTCAGCCGCCCACGAGATGTGTGGGTCCGCCAACGTGGCGCGGCATACGGGCGATTTTGTTGTCGAAAACAATTGGTGGCGGCATGAGCAGCGTCACTAGCACTAGACCACTGAGTGTACGTTTGCAGTTGGCTGTGCTCGCCGATCACATGGACTGACTCCATATCGATCCAGCCGTGAGACTTGTTCCATAGAGAGACAGTGGCGTCAAGGAAATGGCCGCTTTTAGTTATCACCAGATCTTCTGTTAGACGTGTTGCGAGGCACATTGGAACGCGCGCCAGAGAGTCGAACAACTAGGCAACCAACCGCTCTTCTCCGCTTTGCGTTCAAGTTCCGGTGATACACACTGGGTAAGGCAGCATTGATTGCCAGCTGCATTGGAAGGGGCTTGGTAAGTTAGTTGCATTACTTGTGGATGACGACGATCGTGAGCAAGGGACGGACATAGCCTTGAGGTTCATGATGCATGGTCTAGACTCCGCCTAGGCAATGTTTGAGGTTAAATCTTCGACGGCACTTGCCTCCCATTCTCGATCCATGTACTAGGCTTGCCAGATCTTGGGTCTTCAACGTCCCTTCACACACCAATCGCATCCGTGCATGTGTCTTCTCAGGGAGCTGAGACCACCTTAGGGCTTCGGGTGAGCGAACATGGACAAGGTACGCAAGCGATCAACCAATTGTGGTCGCATACGAGCACAACTCTAAATATGACAGCGCTTTCGTGGTGGTACAGCGCCCAAACTCCGGCATAATAACCACCGCTCAACATACACCAAACCCTTAAAAGGACCACCAGTCTGACCATCCAGTTAGCCATGGACTAGTTCGCTATGCACTGGATCCGCGGGCTGAAGAAATGCAGCGGCCTGAATGCAAACTCAACAGTGGCGGGGTTAGCTCTGTCAACCTTCTCGGGTGGGTGCGTTTGAATGAGTATCTGCAACTCGCTTCGGTGGCCTTGCATGATCAAAGCCTGCACACATCGCCTGTCTCACCAGCTTGGTGCTGCACGGCACTAACTCAAGAAAAGCCACCAGTTTTCGAAAGTCGCTTGCTACCGCTGCTGTACAACAAAGAGCCCCGTCACAACAAGAAATTTCTGCTCCCCACCTGTGAAGAAGGCAACTAACAGCATGTCATGGCCCGGTCTACAACATCTCAAGGCGCCACGCATGCTCCGAGAGTAATCAAAGGGACGGAAGTGGTAATCCCATCCATTCTCCTTTCTGCCGCTCCATGGTGACGCGGTGCGTGTCGTGCGTGTGTTTGTCACACTTGTTTAGGGTCCGAATTCTGTGTGCATCCGCAGCATCAGCCCAACTTTGTTGGGGACGCGACGGATTGTGCGTGTATCCTGGCATGTCATTCACGGTACGAGTCGGGGGTGGGGAAGGCGCTTATTGCTGCAAATTGTCGGAATTGCAACTAATATAGAGCAGGTTTCCCAATCAGCACGCCGCACAATCCGAGGTCGGACCATGCCTGCGACAGTATGCTTACCTCTTCCGGTTACAACACCGGTCGGTCGCTTGTAAGACTTTATCTCAATGTGGAAACTGTACTCCGCAGTGGCCTTTCTGAACTCAAAGGATCCCACATCCCTAGTCTATACCCTACACCACGGTCACGATTTGCCCGTAAGAGCTGCCTTGACATCCGGTACATGCCCAACCTTCATGCGTCGTTACATTAGTCGATGTGTCAAAAGCAATATCAGCGCGGTGCTACTAAGCGAATGGCTGCTGACAGGAAAAGCTCTTTGCATGCCGGTCACAAATTCCTCAGGCTGCATGGCTCTATTGTATCGACAGCGATGCCTCGTTACAAGGAACAGTCCTATCGTATGTATGACGACAGAACGTATGCATCGCACCAAGAGTTCTCCAGGGCCAAGATCGACGAATCGCCTTCCCACTCGCTCATGGTTACACTCCAGGCTCCAGGCTAAATCAATTGGCGGGCTGACGCGGCGATCCTTACATCCACCGCTGAGCGACTTGTCCACACACCCTTTTTTCATCGCTTGTGGTTACGCGCAGCAAACAGTGGCACTCGCATGAGCTTTGCCGCAGAACGAACGAAGTGCCTATATGGAGCACCTATTTTTGGCTGAGACAACCTCGGGAGATCTGATCGCTGTTGCTACAAATGCATGCACAACACGCTGCTGAAAGTCCAACCAGCCGCTATCGCGACTACCACAGTATCCCTCATCCAGTCTGATGACCACGGCAGCATGCCGGCGTCCTGATCTGGGTCATGACTTCGAAACTGTCGCGGCTAGACGCTCCATCAGCATCGCCTGCATTGGTGCCCCTCCACGACCAAGCAGACACTTGTTTAACCCCAAGCAGACCGTGAGAGGTGGCTGCACGACATGCAAGGTAGACTCTTTTCCGGCAGACCGTTTCATCTCCGTTCAGCCCTCTCCTTTGTCTCCCGTCTCTTCCGCTCGCACTCGCGGTATCGCCGCTTATTATACTTCCCTAAGCTTCCGGGGACTCGCTATCATCCTCCGAAAATTGCAGCCGTGCGTACTAGCATCGTCACCTTCGCCCTGAGGTCACCCGGTGTCTCGCAATGAAAGTTTGGTGGGATGTTATGTGGAGGCCGCGTGCGGTCATATGGCGCAGTCTGGAACACGCCCACACAAATAATGAGAGCCGCCTAACGATCATCACGAAACGATCGGCACACGCACATTAACTCGCTTTTCGGCCTTTACAGGTTGCTCGTTTACTTTGCGTCTCTCCTGCGCCAGTCACACGCCAAGATGACATGATTTTCGTCGGACACCGGACGGGTACCCATCCCTCCGCCAAGTCACCCCCACTCAATTTCAACGTTCTTCGACTTGCATGGTGCGGTTTTTTCTTTTGCCGTTCACAATCCCGGGAGTTTCTCCGTTACTCGCAACCATAACTCCACCAGCCTGCAAACGTCGATCGTCACATTCTTCTTCGGCTCAAACAGTCTTCGTCACTATGCTTCCGAGGGGCACCGAGCAAGGGACCGAAAAATGATGGCTGGCGCGGATTACGAAGAAATCACAAAGACAACGACGCTCCGTGCCCATAATCTTTTCATGCAGATCACCAAGGCCCGATCGACATGCACAGCAGCTTCGAGATTAAACGGTTAGCTACGCTGCTCCGCGATGGACGGGACCAGACACAGGTCCAGCTTGCGTAACAATGATTCAACAACACTTCGCGAAACCTTGGGTGTAGACATTCATCACTGCAAGAGATCGGCCACAACGCATCAACAAGGCTATGCATGAAGCCGTGGCAACATCACTCTTCCGCCACGCTTACCATCACCCGGAACCTTTGTACCACTGTCCCCCACGAAGAGTCAGACAGCTCAGACTTCCGTCAGATTGCTTTGCATCAACCTTAAACTAGCAAATTTTCAACACGCTGTCGGGTAAGCATGCTAATATCGCAACACCTAAGCACGGCGCCCAGCACTCGTTGCGTTACATTTCCGCACTGCCCCGAATGCGCGAGCATGTCATCACTCGGACGAGCCAGCTGCCGTGGTGTCGATCGCTCGTGACGAGAACTTCGCAAAGCGGGGTTGGGCGGTACTTGAGTGCCTCCTCGGACGAGCGTATATGAGGCCACATATTGCATGTGTGTCTCGATCGAGATGCGCGTTACGATAATGTTTGGGACCGTAAATGCGATCTCAGACCTGTTTTGAGTGTCTCTGCAGCTTTCGTCGCAGACTAAAGTAATGTCCATGATGTAGAAATCGCTCGGAGGGCACATGCCTCTGCGACACAGTTGAAATGTTCTTTGCTAGACGATTGATTGAGCGGATACAGGGTGTGTAAGTTCAGCAGCGTAAGTCGTGACTGCTTTCATCTCGCTCAGATGATTCAAGACCCGGCTCATTCAGACATCATTCCAATCCACCCTGTAATTTCTTAAGCATTTCGTCCCGCAGCCTCTCGCCTTCATCACGCTCATCTCTCTTCTCTTCTTCAAAGCTAGCTGACACCTCTTCCTCCCGAACCTTCCGGTGGAAAGTAAAAGTCCTGAGCTTTTCGATGGTCTAGCGAACAAATTTTCCTCTCCCTCCACCGCAGTCCGGTTGTGAAATTTGGAATAGATGCGATACCCTTTGCCAGCCGGGTCACATGCCATATAAGCATCCTGTGGCTTGGGCGCTGCGTGGAAGACAATCTTGTCTCGTGCTTCAAGGTCGGCGGTAACTGAAAGCGTCAACATCTCTCCATGTGACTCCGAGTTCCGAACGTTGTCAGTCCATGTGATTTTGTATCAGCCATCGTCCTTCTTGTGCATTTTGAACACGATATGCGGGTCGCCACTATGTTGCAAATTCGCCTGACGTGGTATGCCTTCCCTCGCCAGTCTCTGAGCAACTCCCACGAGCGGTCGTCAGACTCGGAGCAGAGGCGTATAGTGAACTGCTCGCCGTCATCGATTTGCTTGCCGTCCGTAGCTTTGGGACGCGCATCCCACGTAAATTTCGCCGGTGGTTCGACGTACTTGATAGGAACTACAAACAGTTTGACCAAAAGTCTCTCTGCTCTCCTCACAGCGATGTTCGAAACGAGGAAATTATCGGTGGTAATCCCGACCGATTTACGCTTGTCTTCGCGCAACTCGAAGTGCAGCTGGTGTCCGCTGGCAGCTTGCTTTGAAGCCGAGACGGTAGTAGTACGGATTTTCAATCGTCTAAGCCGCCATGACCCCGACATCAGTCAGCGGCCTGGCTTCTTGCTCGTCGATCATGGCTTCCAGAGTGATGTTGTTGCGGGGAGTCTTTACGACTGTGAAGACAATGGCTTTCTCTTGGTCCCAAAGCTCGTCGCCAGAGACTAGATAACCTCGCGGTACGGTCCGCACCCTTCCAGTCCCAGCCCATGAAGCCATCAGTCAAGCCACGATAAGACCTCGTCACATGTAAGTATAGACACCCCGCGTTGTCACACATGAATTGCTGGACATAGCGCATTCATCGGGCTCTTCCTTATGTTGTACTCACTGGAGCCATCGACATCGGCCTGGCATAGATATCGCACCTTGCTACTCGTACTCGCAACGGGCGACGATATCTTGTTTACCTCTCACCGCTCATGCATTGGGAGGTGAAAATTGAGTTCCACCGCTATGATAGACCTGGACTGAAATATCATTACACAACCTCTAGAGAATGATCAGATCTCGCGAGTTCGCCAGTGGGAGCAGTTTCTGAACTGGGTGCCATAATGCGCAGAATAATATTGCATATTGCGCTAAAACGAGGGGTGGGCTAATTCTTCTGTCGAAGCAACAACAATACTACATCGCCAAAATCTGTTCGCTGTCGTCGCATGTTTTGGATGACTTGTTCTACTACAGACCTCATCCCGTGTTCTTTGTACTTAGGTACGTCCCGAACGTTGAGCGCCCTTTTCCTCCAACGAGTAGCATATTTCTTCACGAGTGAGATCCGATCGAGCCCTTTAAAGTCTGTGCGGTTGACTTGATGGTAGAAACCAGTTGCTCGACGAATCTTTCTGTTCAGTGCTGGATTCAAAATGCGCATCTGTTTGAAAAATTGGATGACATGTTCCATACCGTCGAATGTGGACTTAATGTAATCGACACCCATCTCTATGGCCACTCGTGAATCGTCATAACCTACAGGTTGTCAGTAGACTCCTATTTCTTATGTGCAGGACGTACCGTAGGGCTCATATCTATTGCGGAGAGAGTGTTTCCGAACGTATTTCAAAAGCTCTTCCTTGTCGACGTTCGATTGCTCGACGTGTGCTTCATAAGATTGACTCAAGATGGCTTCTGTATGCCCCATGATGATCTTCAGTAGTTCTTCATAGCCTTCTTCTGCCGCCACTATCTCGAATCGATTCGCATATGCATTTGTTCCCGGGATTTGGTATGTTCGCAGCCATACCGTGTGAGGCATGAAGCCTTTCATCCCTCGGGAACATCGGCTCGGGATCTATGTAGTCGATCATACCAAGCATACCAAAACTCATGTTCGCTAACGAATCGCCCAATTCCATGAAATTGAGCTTCACAGAAGCTAGGAGCAATGAATGCGTGATCTGGATCAGGAAATCCGGCCTCTCATATCGTGAACGTGATATGTCCGTAGAGAATTGTAAAAGCAACTCTGCAGCGGTGAGGTACCCATGTATACATGCGAAGTAGATGCACTGTCCAAAGAACGGGACGGTCAGATCCAGCAAAGCGACGAACTGGGGAGCCTGAGAAGTACGAGACTGGGGCATCATTCTTGACATGTATTTCTGAGGACGGCTAATGAGAAGCTCGCGCGCATCGAGTTTGGGACCCGGCAAGGTGGATCGTCGGCCTGAAAGATGAAGTGCCAGGCCTCTATCGTTCAGCGAGCTGGCCAAAGCTTCAGTGTATTTGTCCAGATTGAATCCCGATACATCTGCGTCCTGATACAGACGTGAATAATGAAGAGGGCTCTTAAGCATGCCTTCATATGTGAACAGATCTCCAAGAACCAGTTCCTTGGCTTCGTCTTCACTGAACGATAGGTCTTTCGCATTGCTGTAGCTAGCGAGAAAGTCTTTGGCTGTCCTGTGAAGTAATTGGACGCGATCGAATGAGCTGACCGGGATATCTGCCGAGTTTGCTTGGCCCTCCACCGCGGTTGAGGTCTCGGTGTGGATGATGTCGATGAAAGGACCGCAATACCGGCGTAAGAGATATCGAAAGTCTGACCAATCGAGGACGACCACACTCTGGAATTTTCCCTCTTCCGATATCGATATCGCTTCAAGCAGCTCAACCGTCCTTAATGGATGCCAAGTGGTCGCACCAGCCGTCCACATCAGTATCCTTCGAGCAAGCTTCAACTCTTGCGCATTCAGTCGGAGATGAATGTCCAATATTATCTGCTTGTATAGAAGATGAAGATCGGTTGGTAATGCCTCGAGACATTGGCGTACTGCTTGCCATGTATAGAAGGTACCCATCATTGCTTTAACTGTTGCGATACATACTGTAACCCACAGAATTACTCCTTCGGCATTGCTCAGTAAGAATTTTCTGACTGTCTCAAGTTCATCTTGATCTCTTTGCGGTAAGTTAAGGGTGGCTCCTCGTTGCTGATGATAGTGGCCTGGTCTAGTTCGTTTCTTTGGCTTTTTGCGTCTGGGAGCGTTTTCGTCGTCATCGTCTGGGGACAGCTCGAATGGCCTCATTGATTTGACTAAAGACTCGATCCCTACATCCACTATGATTCGAACCGCCTCGTGGTTCGCTTCATGCATCTTGATCACGCCTAGGTCATCGTAGTTTTCATGAAAATATGTAAAGAACCCCTCAATGTCGTATTCTGGCCGACTCAGTATGACGAATTTGACCCGTGAATCTTCGTGATCCAGTGTAGTCTTTGCAAGGAATCGAAGAATGTGTTTTCTAGCCATTTTGGGACTCCTCGTCTTCTGATTCATCCATAGCATCGATGAGACACAGGATGCTGACACCCGCATTCGCTATGGCAGCGAAAATAGACTTCATGTTGTCAAGGGTGATCCAATCGTTGGATCCAGGTCCATGGGAGCGATAAATCGTCTTGAAATGATGGAAGAGCCTGCTATTACTCGAGAGTAATTGATACAGCAAGGACCGAAGCAGAGATATGTGTGCCATCATTTCATCGCCTCCCCTGGTGCTGTAATACCATTCGCATGTATGAGCATCAATCTCACGGGAAAGACTCTTCTGATCTCGTGAATCCGTTTTGCCTGGTAAATATGGCACTGGGTCTAGTATGTTCTTTGCCAAAACAGATTTTCCGCTCCCTGGCTTGCCTTGAATCCACAATATCCCTGCCTGTTTGTCTCTCCAGGAAGTATATGTCGGATGATTCCAGAACCAGTCTGTCGTCCCATTTATGGCATGAACGATCTCTTTCTGTCGCTCCAGTCTGCGATCGAAGTCCATGGTGCTCATACATTCTGGTCTCATGTAAGCTCGGAAAACATGGGATAATTCTGTCAACTCACCTCTCAGTTCTGTATCGTAGTCCACTTGGTCGATGTACGCGCTCGGATCCTTCGAAAATGTAGATAGAGGTGACTGCGGAAATCGTGACGTATCCGTGACAACAATATGCGTTAAGAAGCACTCCTGCGCCCAATAGATGAGGACAGTGGTAAGTGTTGTACGCCAAGAATCGTCTCTCCTTCCTGTTGAGGTTGAGGTCTGAACCAATGCATCGAGGTTGTCGATTCCAATCCAGGTAGAAACTTTCAGACGTGGAAGTGTGCTGGTGAGCGCATGCTGCAGCATGTCTGTTGGCAGGCTCTGTATTGTCTCTCGCTGGGAAGACCTTTGGTCTTGGAGAAATGCGACGCTGTGTTCTCTGGATAAGCTAGTGCTTAGAGCGTTGCGCGCATCTTTAGGAATGGGCAATGCGAGCAGCTGTAGGCATAGACTGCTCAGTACTGATGTAAGACCCGAGCCACTCTGGCAGTCGTGATACAAAATGAGCTTATGCTGCTCATAATACAATGGGAGAGATTCGTCAAACAGTGCGGACGCTAGTATTCTGCGCCCAATTTGCGTCAATGAGTTGGCGCTTACTCTGGTAGAGGGCTTTTGATAAGCCAGTACTCCTCCTTCATGGTTATTGACCCAGTTCAAGTACGATGTTGTATGTGGCACAAAGCACAGGTCGATGTCTGATTCCTGCAAGGGTGTCAAGTCTTCTACGTTGACAAGATACTCCTCAAAATTCTGGATGGAGAAGCCATCTGAGTCTATGTACATTCGTCAGTACCCGCAGTAATTGTGTTATCAGTTTGTGGGCTGATGCAAGATATAACCTAATGAATTTGGTCCCAACAATTGGGTGCTATGGAGCCCTGTGCACTACAATCCATCAAATACAGATGGACATACCTTCTGAGGCCTTTAGCCTTGAGACACACCTTCGCAGAGGCGCATTGGACTTTTCGATAGAAAGGTATCTGCGGGTGACTTCTTCTATCTTGCCAGCACTTGTTGCGTCTTCCAGTGCGACGTTCTCCAATCCTTGCTCGACATTGAATCTGTACGCAATACCTTGCTCGAAAATCTGCGCATGCGCTTGTTGGAAATCGTTGGCAGTTGTTTCCGTATTAGTCGTGATGTCGACCAAAGCATCGAGTATATCAGTTCCCAAAATCGAGTCTCCGAATTTCTTGAGAAGCGGCTGGCCTGTGCCAATAGAGACCATACAGAGAAGGTTATCCTCTAATCTCCAGTCAGGTCCCTGACGGAATGCATCATCTGCTTCCGCCCACAATTTGTTGATGGGGTTGTTTGCACCTGTGCCACCGTCGAGATATGTGGAGCCCTTGATTTGAATCGAATCGAAGAAGCTCGTGGCAGCCGACGTTGCTCGACCAACTTCCCAGATGCGTGCGACATTGCGAATGTCATTGAGTCGTCGCATCGAGTAGTAACTTGACATGATGACGGTCTCGGATGTCGTTGCGCTGGTGGCGCACACGAAGCTACGGTCAATAGTCAGCAGGGGACGTGTACCACTTCTATCACAGACTCACGTTTTACAGCCCCCGTTACTCGAGTTGTCCTTAAATAGGGCGTTCTCGTCGTTCAGCTTCTCACCAACGATTCGTTTGATGCCGGCTTCTAGAGCTTCGTGGTCGAAGCGGCCCTGTAATTTACCTCCCCAGCCAACTCTATGTTTCTTCTTGGTGAATATTGACGAGAAAAGTGTCGTGTATTCGTCGATACACTCTTGAACACTCATTTGAAGTCTTCCGAGCATGATCGCAATCAGACCGCCGGTGCCTATGAATCCATTCAGTAGTTGTAAGATGACGCAACCATTCCATAGAGCTGACAAAAGTCCCTGCGAACAGCACAAGCTTACGCTTGGACGAGCGATGTCTAAGGAGAGATGTCTACTCACTTGTTCCGCCTATCATGTCAAAGTAATCACATGGCTTCGGAGGGTTATCAGGATCGATCATTTCCATGAGCATCTTCAGTACCATCAGAGAAGACAGGCCACGGACGCCGCCTCCATCGAGGCACAAGAGCCTAAGTTGTTGGGTACTCGAGCGACCGTCGGCGGTCGCCATCACGCTTCGCTGCATACTGAACGATCAGAAGCCCTCTCAAGGCCCGGAAGCTCGACGAAGGAAGACAAATTGGTAGGATGAGCTGTTGATGCTCGTAATGAAAGATGATGTAGCCGGTAAGGAGCGATGGTTAAGTAGAAGAGCGTCAGGCTGAAAAGGAGGGGGAGGGCACCAATCCATCGCAAAAGCTGAACAGCCGCCCACCCCATGAGCGGGCTCGTGTCAGCCCATGTGTATGCTGCAACAAGGCTGAAAGCAAGCCGGTTTACGCTTAGCGATACGCTGTTGCTCTCAGACGTATGTCATTACTCGAATCATTGCTCAAGTCGTGTGGAACTTAAGCACTCTCGGTCCCAAGATTATTGAAGAAGCCAAAGTAGTCATATCAGGTTCGATGAAAGTGTGTAGATGCGCTCAGCAAAGATGTAGGAACATTGCGGATACGAAGTACGCTGGCACGTGACTGGGCGGACGTCTTCGCTTGCACCTCCCCTTTTGGTCGAGCCCCGCCTGTGCCCCTCCTAGCGCTGTCCTGTAGATAGATCAAGAACGCTAACCTTGTAACCAGCCTCACGGGTGAGAGTTAAATCGCTGTCGCCCCCAGTCACCATGGCAAGACTTTATGGCCTGTTGCATTCAGCAATTGAATACCCTCCCTGAACGATCCTGAAGGGATTGAGACCAGCACCAACCCATTGGCCTTCCATCCCAACTATCTTCAAACGACTTCAAAATGCCTATCCAAGTCACGCGTATGACCGAGGCCGACATCGACGGCGCAATCGACACAATACAACAAGCCTTCGCCCAAGACCCATACAACCTCTGGATCTACCCCGACCGCTCCAAGGTATGCTTTCAAACAAGCCTCCCAAACAACATTGAACACCCGTACCACTGACACGACCTCGCCAAACTACCACTAACATCTCTTCCAGATCGATCTAACTCGAAACCGCGTCTCCCTCTCCCTCCGCTGCCACTGGGGCATCCGCCATGGCCTCTTCTACGTCGCGCGCGACACCGCCAACCCCGCCAAAATCCTCGGCTGCGCAATGTGGATGCCCCCACACCCACCCTCTGAGCCGGACTCCTGGTCGCTCTACCTGTCCTACTGGTCCCTGTGGTTCTCGCAGATACGCATGAATCTGTGGTACGGCCGCGGCGGGCTGTCCACCACGCGCTACTGGATATGGAAGGCGCGCCAAGCGGAGGCGCAGAAAGCGCTGTGGACAAGCGAGAAGGGGTACTATTTTTGCAATATCGTTACGGTGTTGCCGGAGGCGCAGGGGAAGGGTGTGGGCAGGGCGTTGATGGAGGAGGTGTTGGAGATGGCGGATCGGGAGGGTGTAGAGGCGTATTTGGAGAGTTCGAGGAAAGAGCCGAATGTCGCGATTTATGAGAAGTTTGGGTTTGAGTTGGTCAAGGATATGGAGTGCTATAGATGGGGATTGGGGGAGAATGATGCCGATTATGCTAGTATTGTATGGTGAGGAAAACCGGGGGGTGCGAAGATGGATGCGAGTGAAGGCGCGGAAACGATACCGGAATGAGCATTGCTGCTGCTATGGTATTTGCAAATCCAGAATTGCATCGA